ATACTTGGTCTTTAAGGAAGTGGAATAATACTCTCCACTCCTTACTTGTGGGCTGTGTGTGGTGACTATCTTCCAAAGAGTACAGTATGGAATGAGAGGGGAAGAAAAATTAACTTTACAATGGAGATGACTTACAAATCCTAACTCAAGTTAGATGATTAAGGTTAACATCAACAGCAATAAGATATATTCATAGTATGCACTCTCAATATGATGTGATGAGAATGGTACTTTAAGTCTTGTTTTTCTTCCCCAAAACAATTACTCCAATCTAATCTTGAGAAAAGCATCAGACAAATCCCAACTGAGGGACATTCTACAAGATACCTTAACCAGTGCTTCAAATTACTAAAGAAGAAGGAAATTCTAAGAAACTTTAATGATTAAAAGTAGCCAAAGAAGACATTACTGCTAAATGTCAGGTGGTATTACGTATCGGATTCTGAACAGAAAAAGGACATTGGGTAAAGATTGGAAAAATTTTAATGAAAAATGCACTTTATTAAGTACTTTAACAGTTAATCAATGTTGGTTCATTAGTTTTGACCAACATACCATAGTAATGCAAGGTGTTTACATTGGAATTATCTGTATGATCTTTGCAATAATTTTGTAAATACAAACCCCCTGTAATAAAAAGGAAATAAAAGTTTAAAAGTAAAAAGGGAACCATATATCTATATCAATATCTTCATGTCTCTCACTCTCTGTCTCTGTAACTATCTATTTTTAATTTAAAAATTCTTTTGAATCATCTGAGGATTTTTGCCAACATACTGGTAATTGGATTTCAACTCCACTCAATTATATGAGAAAATATAGAGTAGCTTTTTTGGCATTGGCATCAAATTTTTTTAAAGCTTCCCAGGAGATAGTAATGTGTACTCAGTATTATGAACAATTGAATTAGATGAACTGAATGATTACTCCTAAAGAAATAGAAAATCGGAGTATTTTAATAACCATAAAATACAAGGAATCAAATGCAAGTGGCTTTATTTGTGAAGCCTATCAAATTTTCAAATAACAGGTAATGCCTAGATTGTTTAAACTTCTCTAAAACAGAGAATACTTTTTGAAAAAGTTTCATTATTCTTTCTAAGAAGTGAGCATAACCTGATATCCAAAGTCATCTAATAGATCACAAAAATGACCCCAATAAAAACAACATTATATGTAGACCAATCTCACTCATGGACGGAGATGTTACACTATGTTAAAGAAATAATACATCAAGAAAAAATAGTTTTAATCTCAGAAATGATCTTATGGTTTAACATAAAGATATTCATTGATGTGATTCACTGTACTAATAGTTTAACCCACATAAATCCAGGGAGGAACATATTCCAGTCTTTGTATAAAACCTTAGTCATATTACCAAATTAACTGTAAGGTATTTAAAAGCTCCTTTGAATTCACAAAACATATGTCGACTTCACAAATCCCGTCTTTGTGCATAATAACACTTCAAAAAATTCTTTTCAAATGTTTCTTCTACATATTCATCAAATCCCCAGAAATTGACTCAAAGACTTTTCCTCCTACAAATTTATCCCCAAACCTGGCCTATACATATACAGTTCACTACTTAACACAGGTTTGAACTACGCAAGTCCATTTACAGGTGGATTTTCTTTTGCTTCTGCCACCGCAAGAGAGTAAAAGTAACCCCTTCTCTTCCTTCTCCTCCTCATCCGACTCAACATAAAAATGATGAGGATGAAGACCTTGATGATGACCCATTTGTTATGATGATCTATTTATTATGATGAATAGTAAATATGTTTTCTCTTCCTTATTAATTTTTAAATATTTTATATTCTTTAGCTGACTTAATTGTAAGAATACAGTATCAAATATATACAGCATACAAAATATGTTTTAATCAACTATTTATATTATTGGTTAGGCTTCCAGCCAACAGTAGGCTGCTATTAGTCAAGATTTTGCAGAGTCAAAAACTATATGCAGATTTTTGACAGAGTAGGGGTTGGTACACCTAATCTCCACGTTTTTCAAGATCAACTGTATACTTTCATTTCTTATCCCATCTAACTTCAATACTCTCTTTCTTTTTTCCCTTCATTCAAACATTAATTCTCTGTACTTTCTAAAGCAGATCCTGTTAGATTCATAGTTTTTCCTAATCGGCGTTTTTCTTAAAATAACCTGCACAAAAGGCTAAGAGGCCAATGAGACAACACAGAATCATTTTAACAAGAAAGAAGAGTGGGAAGAAATGGAAAGCTTCAAAATGGAACTTCAAAATTGTCTTTAATTGGTGAGCTGGAATTTAAAGAAGTTAATTAATTTGAGTTAATATGTTTCACTCAGTCATAATAGATTAATGGGTTATAACCTCATGGTTATTTTGATACAGTCAAAAAACGCACTTACCAAAATTCAAAAATTTTCCTAATAAATATATCTTAGCTGTAAATGAGGAACATTTCTTAAAGTCAGCATATTATTAAGGAATCATTTCAAAAGTTAGCAGAAAGGATGAACTCCTTCATCAATGATTTTGGAAAAATTGTCTCTTTGGGGGAACAAATGGGGATAATACAGAATATTTCACATTATACTCACAAATATACTTTGGATGGGTTAATACTAAAACAAAAATGTATTAATTACATTTTAAATTAATACTAAAACAAAAATATGTATAATAATATAATATAAGAAATTATAATAACAAAGTAGTCCTGAAAAAATGTAGTAAAACAAAATAAAATACATAAAAATGTGAAAAACAATTCCAGCCAGGTGTGGTGGCCATGTCTGTAATTCCAAAAATTTGGGCGGTCAAGGGAGGAAGATTGTTTGAGCCCACGAGTTAGAGACCAGCCTGGGTAACATGGTGACACCCCCTCTCTACAAAAAATTAAAAAATAGAAAAGCAGGGCATGGAGGCATATGCTTGTGGTCCCAGCTCCTAGGGAGGCTGAGGTGGGAGGATCACTTGAGCCTGCAGTGGAGCCATAATCATGCCAGTGCACTCCAGCCTAGGTGACAGAGGGAGATCCTATCATTAAAAAAAAAAAAAAAAAAAAGAAAGAAAGATAAGAAAAGCATTTCCATTATTTTGCAGTGTGTAAAATCCACTTACAGAACATAAAATCTTTAATGCCCTAAGAAAAAAATAGGCAGATTTAAATCAACAATAATGAGAATCAAAACGATGACAGATATTATAAACAAAATTAAGAAACAAGCAACAAATTAGGAGAAAATAGTTGCATCATATAAAATATATATCTGGAACATTCCTATAAATTAGATTTACAAAGGCAAACAACAGAGTGGAAACATGTGCAAAGAATAGGAACAAAAAAATAAATCCAAGCAATTAGCAACTCTAACAAGAAATTTCTCAGCCTCCCAGAAATAGCAAACATGCAAATAGAAATGCAGATAATTAGGGTGTGTCCTTTTGTTTATTAACAAGATAATATGTTTTGGCTCTGTGTCCCCTCGACAAATTTCATCTCGAATTGTAATCCCCATATGTTAAGACAGGGACCTGAGGGGATATGGATCATGGTAGCGGGTCCCCCCATGCTGTTCTCATGGTGGTGAGGGAGTTCTCAGGAGTTCTGATGGTTTAAGTGGCAGTTTCCCCTGCGCTTTCTCTCTCTTGCTGCTTGTGAAGCAGTTGCTTGTCTCTCCTTCGCCTTCTGCCATGATTGTAAGTTTCCTGAGGTGCCCCGCCCCCAGCTATGTGGAACTGTGAGATAATTAAATATCTATTCTTTATAAATTATCCAGTCTCAGGTATTTATAGTAGTGTGAAAATGGACTAATACACAAGACAAAACTAAAACTGAATTGGCAAAGCAAACAGGCAGTCTTATCAAAGAAGCAATTGGGTGTTTTTTGTCTAAGTCTAAAAATAAGATCAAATAGTGTTTGACCCAGTAAATCAATTTCTAGGCATTTTTTGTACATGTGTAGAAACATATATATGTATTATATATATAATTTTAATTAAAAAATTGGAAATTAATATGATTTGGCTGTGTCCCAATTCAAATCTCAACTTGAATTATACCTCTGAGAATTCTCACATGTTATGGGAGGGACCCAGGGGGAGGTAATTGAATCACAGGGACTGGTCTTCCCCATGCTATTCTCATAATAGTGAATAAGTCTCATGAGATCTGATGGGTTCATCAGGGGTTTCTGCTTTTGCTTTTTTCTCATTATCTCTTGCAGCCATCATGTAAGAAGTACCTTTTACCTTCTGCCATGATTCTGAGGCCTCCTCAGCTATGTAAAACTGTTAGTCCAATTAAACCTCTTTTTGTTCCCAGTTTCAGGTACGTCTTTATCAGCAGTGTGCAAACAAACTAATACAGAAACAATACAAATTTTCATAAATTTTTAGCAAGGTAAATTGCCATCTAACTAGAGGCTACATTTTGCAGCCTTCCTTAGGCTTGAAGGTGATCCTATACCAATTCTGGGCAATCATATGTGAATAGCAATGATTTTTGCAATTTCTGGGCAGTAGGAATATCAAACGGAAGCTGTTAGTTTTTCATTTCTTCTATTATTTCTGCCCCATTATATGAGCCATAACAAAACATGGCAGAGAGGAATCAGCTCCTCTTGTGGAGATGACAAAAATGAAACAAAACATTTTAGTGGATGGATGGAATCTAGGTCACCAAAAACTGTTGTAGAGAAAGCCTCCCAACCCTCCTGGAACTTTTGTGTAGAAGAAAATCATACTTCCCATTTGACTTAAGCCCCTAATATTTGGTTCTAGATAAAGAGGTTGAAATAATACCTCAACCAATGTAGTAGTAAATCACACACATTGAGCCTGTGACTCTGAAATGTGAAAGCACTGTTATAGACACTTTTATCAGAATTCACATACAGGTTTACATTCAAAACCAACAAAGTGACATGCTGACATCTCCAAAATTCTTAAAGACACAAATCTCAAGCAGCTTAGATTTTATCTTAGTTGCATCTTTTTTACTAACCTCCAAAGTAAGAGCCATCTGTCAGCTTCATTTCTTTACTGGATTTTGTAATGACACCAGCAACACCATGTTGAATGAAATACATTTTTTTACCCACGGCTCCTTCTCGTATGATATAATCTCCAGGTTGAAACACCTCAAATCTCAACTTGCTCAGCATGGCAGTCACAAAATTAGGATCCGCATTAGCAAATAAAGGCATTGTAGCCACCAGTTTCCGACAGTTGAAGTTGACTATCTCCTAAAGATGTCAAGAGTAAACAAATATTAAGAGAGATATTAATCATATCTGGAAGAAAAACATGCTGAAATTTAAAAAATAGATATAGCATAACATTGCAATTTAAATTTAGATACAAAAATTCATAAATTATAGTAATGCACATCACATTACAGTCAGGATTGCGTTTTATTTTGATGTTGAAATTTTTGTATTCCCAGAACCTAGTGTAGTATAAGAATATATTAGATGTTCGATAAATGTTAATTCAATATATGAAAATCTCATCTTTTAAAACTTCCCATTTCTTTACTATTGTGTATATGAAGCTAAAACTTCTAAAATGTGAATATATTTTATTCTTCATTTTATCTTTTATTTATGAAGAAAGAAAGCCATATCACTTCCTATTAGCTATGACATTGCTGCTTCTGTGCTCCATTTTGTCTGGGCCCAACTACCAGACAAAAGCATTTTGATGTTTTTTTTTTTGTTGTTAATGTCATTCACATTAGAGTGAGGACAATGGATAGTACAGAAAAAGGTTACACAAAGGAGACTCTAATCTAAAATTATAAATTCATCAGGCACAGTGGTTCATGCCTGCAATCCCAGCACTTTGGGAGGCCAAGGCGGGTGGATCACGAGGTCAGGAGTTCAAGACCAGCCTGGTCAAGATGGTGAAACCCCGTCTCTACTAAAAATACAAAAATTAGGTGGGCATGCTGGCGGGCACTTATAATCCCAGCTACTCGGGGGGCTGAGGCAGAGAATTGCTTGAACCCAGGAGGCGGAGATTGCAGTGAGCAGAAATCACACCACTGTACTCCAGCCTGGAAAACACAGTGAGACTCAATCTCAAAAAAAAAAAAAAAAAAAAAAACCAAAAATTAAAATTATAAATTCAGTTGGTGTCTGGGCTAGAATCAGAAGTCGTTCTTTCTATAGACTCTTGGGATTCCATTGCAAATGATGGGCTAGAGGGAGGACATATTTGCCTTTTCCTGACTTGTTTGTTTTATTCCAGGAGCAGGTCAGTTCTTAAATAGGAGATCTGTATGTTTGATTTCATCCTGTGGATTCTGGTCAAGATTAAACATATTTTTGTCCCTCTGGATGAAAACAGAAATGTGGAATCAAACATTTTTAATCATGCAAATCAGTTATGTGACACAGAATAGACAGTGGAAATCTACATTTTGCCACAAAGCCACTTCTCAGAAATTTCCTTACCAATGAGTCGCCCCACAAAAGGTTGGGACTGCATTTGTGATTTTGTTTAAGAGGCACAGAAATTGGTCATGTCTGCGAAGAGGTGAAAAGAAGGCACAAAGATTCATAGGTAGTAACAGAGTCTGAGAACTCTATCTTCTGCCTTGGGGAAATATGCTATACAGACCCATAAATTCCAAGACTGAGAAAGAAAGTTTCCATGATCTTATTTCATCAAATGACCTAATACTATCCAGGATAGATAAAGAATTCCAGCTGATACAGAAGGCACAACATTTTGGATCTACCGTGGAAGAAAAGGTGTTTCATTCTCAACAATATTTTGTGAGTTTAGTTAAGAATAACAATGTCTGTAATAGTGGAGCTTCATGAAAGATGAGAAAATATACACAAATAAGCAACAATAATCAGAAAGTGAACTTAGCAGTGAAGACAAGAGAAAGATATTAAATGTGGTACTTAGTGCAGCATTATTCAGGCCAAAATATACACTTGAGTCCATGATTGACTGTATCTAGGGAAATTTGTGATAATTTTATCTGATGCATGGAGTGTGGGTCTATAATAACGTTCAGTAAGTAGTAAGTACTGAATAAATATGCATGCATATAAAGGAAGCAGTGGAGAAGGAAGAAATGAAGGAGGGGAGGAAGGAAAGAAAGAAGGGAGGAAGGGAGGGAGCAGGTGGGAAGGAAAGAAGGAATGGATTAAAGAAGAAACAGAGGCAGGGAGGGAGGGAGGAAGAATAAAGGAAGGAAGGAAGGAAAGAAGGAAGGAAGGAGGGAGGGAAAGAATGAATGAATGAAGGAAGGAAAGAAGGCAGGGAGGGAGGGAGAAAGGAAGGGAGGAAGGTGGAGTTTCAGTTGTAAAAATGTATTCACAAACACTAATTTTATTCTCGTTGGGAGATGGTTACTTAAAACTCAGCTTTCTCAAGCAAATGGATTGAGAGACAAGTCTTCTGCATTAAAAAATTTGTTTTTACTGTTCCAAATATTTCTATACAAAACAACAGGAAGATAAAAAGTGATGTGGAGTTAAAAGAAGACAGAGCTATGTCATGAAAATAGCTAGATTAATTGATTGAGAGTTAATTATTTCACATATAAAATGACGTAGAATAATACTGTGTAGGAAATTGAAAATGACTCAGATTATAGAGAAAATAATTTTTCATACAAAAAAATAGAGAATCCCTTCATGTTTGTACCTTGATTTGAACTATGCAAATGTTTCACTTCACTGATCTCTCATTTTTTATTTTAGGAAATAATTGCAATTATGAATAACTTGTTAATGATACATTGCATATCCAGGTGTTTCTGTTAGAACTCCATTTATTATAATACTCCTGGAATAATTTCATATTTTTGTTTGAAGAAATCTATTAATGTTTTCTTCCTTCATAAAACTTTTACTTCCCAGGAGTATTACCTGATTAAAACTGTAAATTCTAACAAAGATATGATAGAAAAAAGGTAGTGAGACAGAATCTTCTTGGATTCTAAAAGTCTTTCATCCTCCCATGAAAACTGCTTTTTTTGAGGATGTCTAGTATATAGAAACAATCATGTAAGTATAGAATGAAGCAAAACTTTAAAAAAATATTTTTAATCAATCACCTTTCCTTATGGCACATTGAGGTAAATAAAACACACAATTACTAACTCTAACATTCATTCAGATTACTTATGGCACTTGTTATAATTATCTCTTTTTATCAAAATATCAGATCTGAGTTAGGAGTATTATCTATATGCATTAAATTGAGGAAAGGTTGCTTGCTAAGGAAGGCAAACACATGGTTCTGATCTTAGTAATAAGTTGCTCCAGACTATTAAGTTTATGCTGGCACTTTAAAAAATGCAATTATTTCTTTCCTGGAACATTTTGTAGTATAAGAAAGTATGTACATGCTAAAAACAAATGAAAAAACAAACAGAAAGACCAATCCCCAAAATGAAACCGAACAAAAACCCCACAGTAATGAAGGTATTTCAAAGGGACACAGGGGCCAACTGAAAGAGCTACCAATAGTCAAACAAAGCTGGAAAAATTTGAGTAACAACAACAAAAAGTATTGGATTAAACCCAAAGTATAAAATACATAACCAAGATCACATACAAATCTAGATGACTGGCTAAACTACTAAAAAGTCAGGGATAACACATAAACTTTCTCTTTAAATTCAAAATAATTTCAAATAATTCATATAAGCATTCCTGCCTCAAAAAGTTGGAGAATAATTACCAAACCCTTAAGGATGGGCTGAGCATTGAGCATGGGGACTTCCTTCAAACAATACAATAAGGAAAAGAGGGGAAAAGTAGTAACTTTCCAATAGAGAAACATGAAAAACTCCACCTCAAGTCAGACGATCAATGTTAACATCAACAGTGCTAAATCATGTTGGTAGCATGTACTCTTGGTATGATGTAATCAGAAGGGCATTTTACTTTTGTGGCATTCCTACAACAAACCCATAATCCCAGTTTAATTATGACAAAACCATCAGCAAACCCAAATTTAGGAAAATTCTACGCAATATTTGGCCAGTTCTCCTCAAGATGATCAAGGTAATCAAAAACAAGGACATTTGGAAAAAACTGTCCCAGACAAAGGGAGACTAAGGAGACAGGACAACTGACCATAATGTGGTATCCTAGATGGGATCTTAGGACAGAAAAAAAGAACTTTAAAGCAAACTAAGGGAATCTGAATGATGTTTGGACTTTCAATAATAATGTATCAATTTTGAGTCGTAACTGTAGTTATAAGGTATTAAAAACAGGGGAAACTGGATGTGAGGTATATGGGAATTCTCCATACTATTTCTGAAGCTTTTTTGCTTACATAGTTTGGATGCTTAGCACTCCACGATTCATGCTGGAATCTGACCTAATATTGGAGGTGGTGCACGGGAGGAGGTGTTTCAGTCATGGGGGAGAAGAACCCACATGAATGATTTGGTGCTGTCCTTGAGTTAATGAGTGAGTTCTCACTCTGTTAGTTCCCATGAGAGCTGATTGCTAAAAGGAGCCTGGCACCTACTCTCTCTCTCTCTCACGTCTTCTCTCATCATGCGACATGCAGGCTCCCCTTCCCCTTCCACCATGATTGAATATTTCCTGAGGTCCTCACTAGAAACAGATGCTGGTGCCATGCATCTTGTATAGGCTGCTGAATTGTAAGACAAATCAATTTCTTTACAAATAACTCAGCCTCAGGTAGTCATTTATAGCAATGAAAAATGAATTAAGACATCTGTAAATATAAAATTATTTAAAAATAAAAAGCTTATTAAAGATCTAATTACTGCTCTTCATAGTTAAGAAAATATGATATTTTGTCATAGCATGTAAAGCATATTTTCTTTAATTTAACTCATTTAAAAGTTAATTTAAAAAAGATCTCCTAGTAAATACTTGAAAACAGTCATACCATAGTGCAGTCTGGGGTTAAGCAGCAGGCTGGGAATGTGTCTGTTTATTTGCTGTGGAGTTAATAACTGTAGTCTGTCATAAGAAGACAAATTGTATATATATAATGCATTTTCAACCTCAGATAAATGTTTTTTATCAAGTTTTTGTTTACTAATAAAAATCTATAATTATTTCTGTATTCTGTTCCATTGGTCTATGAGTCTGTTCTTGTACCAGTACCATGCTGTTTTGGTTACTGTAGCCCTTTAGTATAGTTTGAAGTTGGGTAGCATGATGCCTCCAGCTTTGTTCTTTTTGCTTAGGATTGTCTTGGCTATTTGGGCTAGTTTATAGTTCCATAAGAA